GGGGGGGCGCAGGTATCTGACACTCTCTCTGAAGAGTCCTTACGGAGGCTGCCGAGCTGGAGCGGGGGAACCAGTCGCCTAAAGCACAGGTTTTCCCATTCTCATACTTTGCTCTTTTTTTACAGGGAAGATGACGTGCGAAATAACATCCTATCCCAGGTCCTCAGCCAGGGTGCTCGGGCGAGGTGTAAGTATTATCCTAGTGCAGGGGTGGGCAACCTCAGCACTGCAGCTGTGGTGAAACTACCAATCCCATCAGGTATCTGCCTCCTGAGAGTCGTGGCTGTCAGTCTTGCAATGCCTCATGGGACTTGTAGTTCCACAACAGTTGGCTAGCTGAGGTTGCCTACCCCTGTTCCCTGTATTATGTGGAAGGGGGGTGTACCCAGAATGTGGATCTGTGCTCAAGTCCTCCTCTTCTTTTTCAGTGAATAACCTTGCCCTGGTGAAGCCGGAGAAGGCCAAAGCTGTGGAGAATTACCTGATACAGATGGCGAGATTTGGCCAGCTCGGTGGGAAGGTCGGTGTCCATTTATGTTGCATTTTTTGATAAGTGAATTTGTAACGTGCCGCTTTGAAGAGTACATCGGAGATAAGTCACGGCAAGCAAGTTTTGTAGACGTTCATAGAGATGTGATCTGAAAGGGCCGTCAGGATTCCGGCGCATTTCCTGTGTGTTGCTCGGGAAAAGTCTTAGGCCCCGTTCACATATAGCGAATTGTTGCGCGATTTCCGCCGCGATATCGCGCATTTTTGCCGCGCGATATCGCGAGAAGTCGCCGGCCAATGTTATTCAATGGAGCTGTCTTAACTCCATGTCGCTCGTCGCGGTCGCAAGTCGCTTCTACCGGACCCTTTTTTCTGCGGATTTTGCGCGATTTTGCTTTTTTTCTATGGAGCCCGACGGGGAAGGTCGCGCTACCGTCGCTGGAACGTCGCCCCGAAAGTCGCGCTATCCCGGCCGTGCGGATCCGCTGCAAAAGGTATGTCGCTAGGTGTGAATGGGGTCTTACGCAGGCGCATGAAGTGATGTATCAAAGAAGGCTCCCTGGTGTCCCGTTAGCACAGGGGTGGGCAAACTCCAGCTGTTGTGGAACTACAAATCCCATAAGGCATTGCATGAATGATGCCCAGAGACGGATGCATGCTGGGATTTGTAGTTTCAACACAACCAGAGGGCCAGAGTTTGCCCACCCCAACGTTGGAGGTTCCGGCTCCTGGTTCAGTTGGTCCTCGTCATCTACAAATCGGAATCGGTCTTTATCCTGTTATATACAATTCTATCCTCCGAAATTCCATCTGTGAATGGGAAGTAAATACAACCAATGGGGTTCACGCTAACCTGCGCATGTCACCTAGTGTGCTGTG